CTGCTCTGCTCTGTCAGACTTTATCTTAATGTTTTTCCTCCCTTTGGCTGTGGTTGCTCCCCTGCCCTCTGTTCACTGGTGTAAGGACAGTATCACGCCAGACATGCAAGAGCAGGAAGAGGGTGGGAGAAGAGCAAGGGAGATCTTTACCATGTTTATATTGTGTGCTGTCTGATGGACGTTAAAATGTAGAAAAATGGATCTGCTCATCAGTAAACAGATATGAGAAGAAATTACTTATTTCATCATTCTGGTAGGTGATAAGGCTGCAGCCATTTATCAAATGTCCACTAGAAATAAATGTCTGTTGTCATTTTCTCACTTCCAATAGCATTATACCTCTCTGTAATTTAATTTTAGCTGTTCATCTAAACTGCTGGCTTTTTTTTTTTTTTTTTTTTGAAAGAGTGATCTTAAAAGAGAAGGAATAATTTAACGAGTCTTCCCCCTTTCTTTGGAAAGCCAGCAAAATGATTGTAAAGAACACCAAATTAATTATTTGGATTCATAAAACCAGAAGAAGCCCCCTTGCTTAAAGTAGAATGGACACCAGTCCGTCTCACTTTGATTTTCGGTGGCTCTGAATTCGAGTTTGCTTTTAGAGCAACACCAGCAGCATTCTCACAGCTTGCTAACCCAAAGCTTCCACTACATTTTTCTGTCACCCTTTGGGAGGCTCCTTGTCCCCACCCTGGGAGCCGGGCAGGGATGGGGGCCTTATTCCTTTATCAGCAGTAAACCTCTCTGATAACTCTAGAAAGCAGGAGCTGAAGTTCTTCAGTCCTCCAGCAAGCACGGCTGGCAGGCAACCTACTAGAAGCTTTGCTTAAGTGGAAGAGGGTTTTAACACAATTTGGTATGACACTGAATAATACCATCCATCCATTCCCACCTGCTCTACCCTGATGGCAAAATAACATTATTCTAGACTACTCCCACACTTTCAGCTTTCAGTATGCCTGTGCCTAATTATACTGCATGGGTTATCAGCAGCAGAGATGGAGCTTTTGGTACTCAGGGTTGGGATAATCGGAGCCTGAGGTTTATGGAAAGAGGTGGCAGAAGCTTTTGCAGTAGGAAGACAACTACCTGCTACAGGTACACGGGTTTATCTACCTGGAGGTTTATCTAGATGGCCAGAAAGGAGGTGGTCACTGACTCAGCTGTCACACCAAGGCACATGGGGTGGCTTTTTCCTGTCAGAGCTGTAAGTTTCTCTCAAGGGCGCGTATGGACTGAGGGGGTGGCTGTATCTTTTTACATTCACATTGATGTTTTGGCATTTTCTTCGTTCTTCTCTGTCTCCCAAGGAGGAGCCTGGCCTATAGTGAGGAAGGGAGGCAGAAAGCCAAAAATCTTGTATTGCAGCTTTTTAAAAGACGGACCATGTTTTCTCACATTTGCATGGAAGATAGATGAGGGTCATATCATACATGTGATCCATCACAATAGAATATCTCCAGACTGTGGTAAATTCATCCTATTCCTGATGTGACAGACTTCTTCTGAGGGGAAAAAAAAAACAAACAAACAAACCAACCACTGCAGGTTGCATTGGGTTGGGTTGGGCTCTGCAGAGACACGTGTTACCCGCTTGGGTCTTAAAGCCCTGGCTCTAACCATCCTGCTCCTGCACAAGAACCTCTTTCAGCTGGGCTCTTCTCCCTTCTCCCGTAGATATTCTACTCTTGGCCAACCCGTGGCCCAACTCGTCCCGGAGCCTCACGATAGATGCTCTCCTGGGAGAGGGGACCTGCAGCCCGGAGTCCTCCTCCCAGGCAGGGACTGGCTCAGGGGCTGCTCTTGCCCGCCCGGGCACTCTCCTCTCCCCAGCTGGCCTGGGCTGGGCAGGCTGCCTTCCCTGATGTGGTTTCAGCCCGGCGAAATATTGCTTGGGCACACCTGCAAGATCCGGGTGGAGTTTGGGCACCTTCTGGCCTCCCTGTGAGTTACAGCTATTTTTTTACAGGAGGAGGTGCTGGGCTGCTCCGCAACAGGAGCGTTTAGGTAGCCAGGAAAGGCTCCAATTCAAAGCAGAGGCACAGATTTATTTTAGGACCCCCAAGGCTGGTCAGAGCAGAGAACTAAAGCATCTGAATACTTGTTAAACCTTACAGGCCTATGTTCCCATGTGGTCGCAGCCTCAGTGGACTTTGGTTACAGTGCTCTCGCCGGGAAGCATCTAGTCAGGCTGAATTACTGTGTGGCATTGGTAGAAAACGGGACAATCTCAATTATCCCAGTACCTGTGATCCTTGCAGTAACAGGGAACTGCTGAGGTGGGATACATCTGGATCATCCCAGCATGAAGTACAATGTTTTGTTTTGTTTTTTTTTGCATAGGAAGTAACATGGGTAAAAATCAAATTCCCTGACAATCCCAAACCTGCTTACATAAATCTAACATTCACTGGGGAGATCAGCACATGAACACCGTATCCCAGATAAGCACCTAAAAAGAAATGGCTTTCTGCAGCACCTTTGCAAGTGGACCCATCTCCACCTACTTGCCTTCTCCACATCTGGCTCTGGAGTTATTTACAACGTGTTGTGAACTTGTAATCACCTCGGAGATGAGAAAGTATCTCAGCTCTACAGGGAAGGTGAAATTCCATCGCTTTTTGTGATGCAAATATTCTGAAATAGGGACGAGACTCCTTCTTAGCCTTTCAAAGCAGATCATGAGATGTAATTACAGCAATTTTACTGCACAGCTACAAATACAAGTACATGGAAGGTGTGTGGGCAGTCCTGCACGGCTGCAGGGCTAGCAGGGGATAGAGGATTTGCAGACAACTTCCAAACCCTGGATCAGCTCCAGCTCTGAATACAACAGCAACAACTGTCAGATATGTGACAAAAAAAGATCTCATCCCATCATTTTCTTTCTAGTAACAATAGCCCGTATTTTTTTTTTTTTCTCAGATTATCCACTAATTACCTCCTCGCCTCCCCCCTCCTGCCCCCCCAGTTAGGAAATTGAGTCCTGTTCTTCATCTGAATATGCCTGAAACCAGCTTTCAGGCGCTGAATTTTTCTTTTCCGTTTGCCAGTAGTACAAGAAACTCACCCTGTTTTTAGATTTCTGTGTGCAAGTATCTATACTCAGCGCTTGAGTCATGTCTCAGCTTCTTGTCAGTGAGCTAAATAAGTTGAGCTTCTTAAGCTTAAATTATGACTTGTTTTCCAGTCCCCGGAGATACTTGGGCCCCTCTTCTGAACCCCCTCCCCCTCTCCGTCCTCGTTATTTCCGTAACTTTTCTGAGGAGTGGATGACAGTGTACAAATAGCCGTAAGCAGTCAGACCAAAGGTGTCTCTTCCCTAGTGTCCTGCCTCTGGCAGCACTTCCAGAAGAAGCCATGGTAAGATCAGCAACAGGGAAAACGAGGTGCTGCTTTCTTCCCCACCGCCTGCTCTAGCATCCGAGTGATGTGCTGCGCACACACGCTCTTAACCTGAACTAGCATCACTTTCCATTTTCTTCTTGATGTTGCGGGTTATATGGATCCAGGGACCACCTCAGCTTATTTCTTGTCACAGAAGCTCGCACTGACCCGCTGTCTGTGAAATACTCGAAGTCCTCCTTGGAGCTGCAGCTTTCCAAGACAGCTCGCTAGCTCTAGCAAACGAAACTCACAGCCTGATGGAGCCCGTACACAAGATCCTTCAAGCTAACCTCTTGCCCTTGACTTCCAGGTCCTTATCTGGAAAGCCTTTGTGTGTTGCCTCCCGCACAGATTGCATTGAACTAGGATGTGAGTTTTTCCAGAATGAAACATTCTGCTCCCCCAACATACAAGTTACAGAGTGGAGAAGGTGAGATATTGGTATCTGACTTCAGACCGCTTCCAACTCCACCTGCTTTTCACCTCTTATTTGCAGAGTAAGCCCTGCCTGCTTCCCAGAGGTTTTATTACAATGGACTCCAGCCTACTGTAACATGCCTGCAGTAATGTTACCCGAAAGCTTTCAGTGATCACAGTATTCTAAAAAGTGTGAGAGGTACTTAAATAAAATATGTTTAAATATATAGTTGGCTCCTAGATTTATTTTTTTTTTTTTTGTGACTATTTGCAGAGAAGGCTTAAAAAATAAAACCAGCACTGACCGTCTTTCTAAAAGAAAACTGAGATTCCCTCGTAATAGCCTAATTACTTCAGGTATTAGGGCATTGCAAATAACAGCAGCATTACAGAGGAAGGAATGAACTGGGAGTAATGCCCCCCATTTCCTAGGACTTCCAACTGGACGTGAGAGAAATCTTGTCACGGTCACATCTCCAGGTGTTTCCACGCCCCCCACCGCCCCCCCCCGCTTTGCTCTGGTATGTGCACCCCCCCACACACACACACACCCCCACACACACACTCTCCTCCATGCAGTCTCACCCCTGAATCCTGGCTCTGCTCCTCAGCATCGCAGGCGCAGGCAGACACATCCCAGCTCGCTTTATCTACAGCCGTCGTCTACCCACAAGCCCTACCCCCTCATCCACGCGTGCCTGCCCCGAAGTCGGTGAGCACACACCAGACCCTGCCCTCCCACGCGGCGTCACTCAGTATTTTGTCCTGGAGATGGGATGAGACCCAGAGGGTGCCCGCTGTCCAGTCCCTTACGGTGCCCGAATACTTTTGAGGGGGGATTTCAGCAAAATGCCTCTTGCAACTTGCTGGGCCTTAGGAGCTGCCAGCTGGGTGAGTATAGGTCTGAGCTGCTCTTTCCCAAATCAAGTAGTTGTGATGGATTATATTTATACCTCCGCTGTCCCAGCCTTTGACAAACCACCCCACGCATCTGTTATATTAGAAGGCCTCAACCTAATATTTTTTTGAGCTGGGCATATGGGAACATGATTACATCATCTTTATTTGGTTTTCTCCATTCACTCTCACTCCTCCATTCTTCCCTCTCCCCATCGTTTATCATTTAAGAATCCACTAAAATATTTCACAGTGTTTTTTACTCCTCGCTGCCTTTTTTTTTTCCTCCTTGTTGACAGACGCTTACCCCAATTCTGAAGTGATCTATGTGTGGACTAACAGCACCACAACGTCCGTGGTGGTGGCCGAGGATGGCTCACGACTTAACCAGTACCACCTGATGGGACAAACTGTAGGAACTGAAAACATCAGTACCAGTACAGGTAGGGAGAACATTTCCAACCCGTGGTTTCCCATGGGAGATCCGCAAGCTCTGGTTACTCCGCAAGGAAAATCTGTGGGACGTGGGGTACTAGGGAGATCCCGTGGAGGTTCCTGGCTCCTGGGCAGAGGCACTGAAATACTGAGAGGGTTGTGTGCTGGCTCCTAGGAACGCCGCAAGGCTGTTGCTGAAGATGCACCCAAGCTCCTGCTATTTAACGGGGGGGGGCCCGCCAAGCTGCGCACGGCTTCTTGGCCACCGCTTGTTTCCCCGTGGGAGGAATCACCCGGGGGGCTCGTTTGATCCGTTTCCATCACTGCTTTCAACTGACGGAAGGGGAGGGAGGGGAGGGCAGGTGTGGGGGGGGCCGTGGCGTGGGGCTGCGGCGTGTCCGGGGGGACCACGTGCCCGGAGAGGAGGCGCAAACCCCGAGGGTTCCCGCTTCCCCCCAGGCTGCGAGCAGAGGTTGCCAGATGTGGCAGCATTAGGCAGGCAAAGAAGCTTTAATCCCAGGCTGGGCACCCACGTGAGCCGTGCCCCGCTGCTTCTTCAGGCTCCCACGCAGTGGGCAGCCCTGGGTGTGCATTGGCGGGGGGACTCCTGGGGGGGTGGAGGGGGGACAAGGCCGGGACAGGGATCAAGTGGGCTCAGCAGGACGGGGGCTTAACCAGGTTACACAACGCGCTGGTCGGCAGAGCAGCAGTGGCATCCAGCGTGGGGGGCAAACAAGGCAGGCTTGCCCTGAAGGGAAGGGGCATTTCCACTGCCGGGGGTTGCGTGGGGGCTTGGGGTAGCGGGAGGGGGGAAAGGGGCAGCCAGCAGCCTGCAGCAGCACAGCCGGGAGCAATTCCTGCCCGCGAAGCACAGCAGAGCCTCCTGGTGATGTAGTGTGTCCCCGGTGAAACACGACGGGCTCGGAGCAGCAGGCAGAATTGTAGAGGACAAGGTATAGGCTGAGTTAGGAGCCTGCTGCTCTCCGCGGGAAATTGGGGAGACGGGAAAACGCGCGTGGACAAAGTTACCTGGACTGAACCGTGGAGGCGCGTAAAGCTTTCTGCTCGAGCTGCCCAAACGTGGCAAAAAAAAAAAAAAAAAAACAAACCAAAAAAAAAAGAGGGGGCAGCTGATCTTGGCGCTGAGTCCGCAAACAGGACACAAAGTGAGGGAAATCTTGCACAGGGAAGCCACGAAACACAACCACTGCCTCCATCCTATAGAGCTTCACCCCCCTCCCTTGCCCACTTCAGGAGACACAAAGCTGCTGCTGAAGCAAAGATACTTAAGCGTATAGACAGAGTCAGAACAGCCACTGCCGCAGGAAAAAAAAAAAAAAAAGAGGAGTGTGCTATCTCCCATTAAAGAGCAAAGACGCTTTTTTCCTTACCAGTTTACCATCATAGCCGCATTGTTTTCTGCAATGAACGGCAGCTCCCCTCTCGCCTCCATTGTTGCCAAGAAAAAGATCCAGAGGATGTACTGAGGCATCTCCTGCAAGCTCGTCCTGCTCCTCGGGGCAAGAAAAACCACCCAGCCCAGGCAGTGAGCGCCCCAGCGGGTCAGCTCCAGGCCACTTCCAGTTTGCAGCTTCGCCTGTGAAAGCTCCGTGTACTCCTCAGCCCAAGGAAACGGGCGACTCTTCAGGCAAATCCCAAAGTTTCTGCCCAGTAACCACCTCCCTCCCCTACTTTAAGATTTAGGCTAATAAATGCTTGTTTTCCAACGCCAAGGTTTTATATGAAAGTTCCAGGTTACATCTGGGCTGGCTGTATTCTGATTGCAGGGTGGATCGCAAAGAGCAGGGCACAGATTGTAACCAGGGATTAGCAAAATACAAAAATCCGATTTTGCCCAGGGAAAGCATCAGTCAGCGATGGATTTTCTGGACTTCATCAAGCTCGGCCAGTAATCAGGGTTACTTATGATCTAAGGCATTTCTTCCTTCCAGTGAATTGTTGAACATGAAAAAGAAAAAAACAGATAGCTACTGCACAAATCCAAGTGGTTGGATTTTTTGTGTTTTTTTTTTTTTGACACACAAGTCAAACTGCACAGCCCTTGCAGACGCACAGGCAAAATGTTTGTGTATGTCCTAGGACATTTATGCTCTCCTTTCTAGCAGACTTTTTTTTTTTTTTCCTTTTGAGTGGAGGTGCTGGACCTGCACCAAACCCTTGGGATCCTCCTGATTTTTTATAAAAGCTGCTAAGTGTGGCTGTCTTCTCAGAAAAAAAAAAAAAAAAAAAAATTATCCTGGCACTCCCAATTCCCCAACCGGTCTTGAAATTGGGAACGTTTTAACCATGTCACCGAAAACAGCTCTGACACGTGCCACCCATTTGTCTGGGGTATTTTTTTGTGCTAACTTCCCCAAATGTCATTCCCCCCAAAAGAGAAGGTATTTGCCTACTCACACTGCTTCCAACAGGCCCAACATCCGTTTTGTTCTGGTGGTGCAAGTGCTGAAAACAATCAGATACAGGATTTGTATCCAAGTGGATCTTGCTGCTTTCTGCAAATGGTTGCCCAGTTCTGTTCCACAAACCCAGAATCTCTCATCGCTAACTTAGGATCTGCAGTGCCACACAACAAAACAAAAACCCACCCTTTTATCTTCCGCCAGCTGGAGCCTGAGCTCTGAAATATCCAAAGCCTAAATAATAAGAGAAGCGTTCAACCCTTCATTTTGCACCAAATAATGCTGATTTTAACTTCAGACGAAACTTTCCCCGACATCGCTATAAAAAGGACACAGGCATTTCTTGTGGGCCAAGGTATTCTGGATGTCAGAGTGGTCAGGAATGCGGCGTCACAGACCGAATGTCTTGCCAGAACAGCTGTTGTTACACCCGAGTCCAGGTATGTCCAGCAAACAAACAAGCCTGGGGCCTGGTCCAGCCTCCGTAAAATGCTCTCTGGAATCCCAGCATAATGGAGATGAAGCATGCATGTAAGATCCGGGAAAATTTGTAAGCATAATCTCCACAACTCCATCATCTAGACGCCAAAAAAAAAAAAAAAAAAAAAGCTCTAGCAGCTTTTAAAACTTAAAAAAAAAACAAAAACAAAACAAACAAACAAACAAACAACAACAACAACAAAAAAAAAAAAAAAACAAAAAAAAAAAACAAAACAAACAAACAAACAAAAAAAAAAAAAAAAAACAAAACCAAAACCTTAAAACCAAGAGCAGCACAGCAGCATTGCTCAGTGAAGAAATGCAGCCGTTCCCGCTCTGGGGCTTTTCATTAGTGCTAAGTTTGTTATTAAAATTGTTCTGTGCAGTGATGAGTGGACCCCATCAGGAACAGGATTCTCTTTTAAGTGCTGCATAAACCTATAACAAAAATTAGCTCTTGCTCAAGAAAGCTTATGGTCTGAGGATAAACAGTGGCCTTACAGAAGCAAAAAGGAGCTTTGCCACTTCAACAGAGCCACTGTTTTGTTCTGAATAAGCAAAAGGCCAAATCAGGCAGCTTTTAGCTTTACTTTAAGCAGTGGTCCCAGGACATTAAAATCCAAGCTGTGGGGTTTTCTTAAGCCCTAAGTCTGCTGGAGAAAGCATTCCTAGTGAAGGTGTTCTTGAAAGGGACAGCATAAGAAATCAGAGAAGATATTGGTTGGAAGAAAAGCAAATATAAAATCATTATTTCAGTGGAGACAAGGACTTTGATAGGTTAAAGAAAATGCTAAGGTAAAAATTAGCTGTGGAGGGCCATCGAAATGTAGGCATTCATTTTCCTCATTTTAAAGAGGAAAAAAAAAAAGGGGGGGGGGTTTATTGTTCTTTTATTCCGGTTCCGAAAGCATACTGTCAAAATCAATAATGCACATCTTCACTCCTTAGCGAGCAGGGAAACTGTAACTCAGACACATCCCAGTGCAGTAGCAACTCAGAAGCAGATTACAAGCACATAGACCCTGCTGTTCCTGGCATATTTTATGGGTAATCCACAAACTAAATGCTCTTAAATAAAGAGGGAGTGGGGATCCTCCCGAGAGCACAGCATTTGCAGCATCCCTGGTTCAAAACTGTACTGAAGGGCAGGGAATTAGTTCCTGCTTCACAGGGATTTTCTCCACAGTTTCACAGCATTCCCGGCCTGTCTCCACATCCCTCTTCAGGGAACCATTTCACCAGAAAAATCAGAATCCTGAAGAAAGTAAGAAATATTGAGGCAGGCTGTCAGGTGCTCTTCCAGTGTCGAAAATCCTGAGCACGAGCAAGGCCTGCAGACTTCATCCAGAATGACAGAGCAACTCTGCATTTCAGTGCAGCTATACCTGCAAAAGCCTTTTCACTCCAGACCTGTCCTCTGCTAATTAGCCGTGTTGTCACTTAGAAATAATCTGCCAAATCTAACTGCTTAGCAGTGCTGGCCGCAGCTCAACTCAGGCTATTCGCTCAAGGCAGAAAAGGTCTATTATAAATTTTCCTTTTGTGGCTTGGCTGGAGAGACCAACAGTCAAGCCTTGCAACAGAGTTTATAGCTGCCTTTGTTTTGTTCTCGGAGGGCAATATATATTTCGGAAGAGGAATTACTCTGATTCATCAGTACCCAGCTGAATGATGCATGCTTTTACATTGATTTGGTATCGGTGTGAGTGGAGATCTGTTAGGGCTTGAAGAGGTTGGTTGCTTTTTATTCTTACGTTTTGTTTTTACTCTTATTTTTCCTAGGCAAGTAGCAGCCTTGTTTTAGGTAGCAGGATTTTGGCTTTGGGGAGAAGTTGCCATCAATGAATCCCCTTCAGCAACAAGTATATGGTTTCCCAGGAACGGTCTGAAAGAACGAGTTGAGGTTTGCTTTTTTTTCTGAGACATTAGGGAAGGTGACAGCTGGTCTGTCGATTCTGGAGTGCGTTTTTTTAGGCTTTTATTGAAATTCAGACCAAAGACAGATTAAGGCAATGTTGTGAATTTGGCATATAAAAAGACATGGGATTTAGCAGTGCTGTGGCAGCTTTCGGTGAATTCTCCATGCAGGCGGTCCGACATTCATTGCACAAGTGAACAAGGCGTGGTGGCACGGTGGCCATCCAGAAACAGATTCTCTTTCCAAGGGCTAAGGTGTACCAAATTCTATGGAAACTGCATGCGCTAGGGCAACTTTTTTTTTTTTTTTTTTTTTTTTTTTGCTGGAGGAGCAATCTGATGGGTTTGGGTACTGGGGCCAGTAAGACACCCGAGGATCCATGTGCAGAGCTGCAGTTTCTGCAGCACCAACACTGGGACAGGGAGTCCTCGAGGTGTAGGTGCAGGAGGAGCGTCTGGACCCGCTCTCACTCTTGAGAACGGATGGCTGGGCAGTAACAGCTGCCCTAACGAGGTTAAGTCCTGCTGCTAAATCGGGGTTCTAAGAGTAGATGGCCTTAATCATTACTCTGGTAAGACGGGTTGTCGGACTGAGTCAAAACCAGGCAGGACTGAGGCAGTGCCAGCAACCCGGATTTTTTAAGCCTGCGAATATCAAGGCGCCCCAGGTGCATGAAAGGACTGCAGCTTTTCAGGGCGGTAGGAGCCGTCTGTCGCCTCCCGCTTCTCTGGGACTGAAGGTGAAGACCAGCAGGGTCCAGCCGCACCTCCATCTCAAGTCCTGGTTTCCCACAGTGCAGAAAGACAGACACTTTTCATGCAGCTGAGACTGGCTGAATGGTATCCTCAAACGCAGGGGGTCGAGCTGGCCTGCTTAAGTCCCTAAATCAGTAAACGTCCCTTATTTTACCCACATGCACATTTTTCTCCTTCTAGGCGAATATACTATTATGACGGCCCATTTTCATCTGAAAAGAAAAATCGGTTATTTTGTCATCCAGACGTACCTTCCTTGCATTATGACTGTGATCTTATCGCAAGTGTCATTTTGGCTAAACAGGGAATCTGTCCCTGCGAGGACTGTCTTTGGTGAGTACCCCACTTTCTCCCAGCACGTGGAAAAGGCCGTGGAAGTGGCTCGTGGAAGTGACTTGCTGTAACAAAGCCACGCTGCACTGATGCTTATTTCTGCTTGAGATGTTCTAGACAGCCCATTGTTCCCTTCCAGGTTAAACTCATAACCCCTTTAAAAACCACTCTCTGGGCTTTTTTGGTAAAGTTACGACAGAAGTTGCACAAGAATCAGTTATCTGAAGGTTAAGGGCAAAAGACAAAAGAATCAGATTGGTGTGATTTGTGTTTTTTTTTTTTTTTTTCCCCGCTCAGGTAAAATACTGTATAGTTTAGATCAAAAACCCCCATACATATTATCATATTTAGTGTCTACTCTAGCTAAGCATTTGAAACAGATTTCACGTCAAGAAATTTTGTTTGTGTTTTAAGATGTTTATCTGGGAAAACCATACAGAGGTTAATTAGTGACAATTATCTCTATTACCATCAAACAAATTAATATGATTTGGCGTTTAGAAAACATATATTTACTGCAGAAGTTGTCATGGAAAATTCCCTCAGGATCTCTTAAATTGCTCAGTTTATCACTATAAGACTGTAGAAAATAAACACGGTCTTAAGTGAAGGTTGATGAAATACAACATTTTCACCAGATGAAAAACGAGGGGAGCGGAAACAGTTTCTTGTGTAAATTTTCCTTCAGCTGTTCTTAAAAAAGTCAGTCTTCTGTACAAACCTGCTGAAACTGGTCAGCAGCTTTGATCAGAAATCAGTTCAGCAGGCTGTGTGGGGAGAATACAGGCACCAGCATCTCTCCGCTGGTCGGTGGTACGCGTTCCAGGTTTGCAGAGCTGAAACAGAGTTGAATTTTGTCCTATCGGGAGCATCCTTCCACAAGTGAAAGTAGTGGCAGCTCTGTCATTTACTGACCCGAGGGAAAGGAGCAGCTACAGCCAGGGAAATCAATAACAGCCAACAATTTCATACATGGAATCTCCGTGTAAGAAAATAAAATCAGTAATCCCACTTTATTCCGACAGTTCCTTCTAAACAGGCTGCTCACTGACTTTATAATGTACCACTTAATGAGGGACCCTCTATACATACCACTCATCCGTGTGCAAAGATAAAATACCAGTAAGGTTTTGGGTTAGGTAACAGCTGGGTTTGCATTACCCCTAAAAATACTTATTTAACTACACTATAACCAGAGGTAGCCAGGACGCCACAGAAGCAAACACCTGAGGGCAGAGACTTTCCATTTTTCTCGGAGAGCAAAGCATCTTACTCTTTCAGAACGTAATATGCAAACACTGGCTGACTTCATGTGGCCTCCTCAGGTATCCTGCTGAATTGGGGCCTGCTTATAGCTCGTTAGGGGTCTCGTAAGGGCTATCAAACTGATCTCTGCCTCTTTTTTTTTTTTTTTTCTCCTTCTTTGTAGGAGTAACAACAGTCCTCACCATGACCACCTTAAGTATCAGTGCCCGTAACTCTTTGCCAAAAGTGGCCTATGCTACTGCAATGGACTGGTTCATAGCTGTCTGCTACGCCTTTGTATTTTCTGCATTGATTGAATTTGCAACAGTCAACTATTTCACCAAGAGGAGTTGGGCATGGGATGGCAAAAAAGCCCTGGAAGCTGCTAAAATCAAGGTGCTTGCCTTACCTTTTTTAAATACCTAGAATAAAAAGCAGTTGCTCAGCGTAGCTCAGGTAACTGAGCGGGCAATTTTTCAACTTCTTTGTGAAAACGGTATTCGGTTACCTCATGACATGTTTTCACCTCCCTGTAGAGGAAAATTTGCGAGGAAATATGCCATCTTCTCTTCATGGAGGTAGACCGTCAGTCTCTACCGCCTCCGTGAAGAGGACTGTTTTCAGAAGGGCGTGGGGCTGGCCGGCCGCTCTTAGTTTCCTCTGGCGTCAGGGAAAGTTTAACCTGACTGAGGGCAACAAAAACAAAGCAGAAAAAGCTGCTTGGGAGTCAAAGTGGGAACAGCCAACAGGCATTTGTTAGCGTGATTGATTGCAGGGCTTTGATTTTGGGGGTTAATAGCTTGAGACCGCATTTCCACTTTCCGTTCCCGCAGTCTAACGTTTTGTTCTTTCCACTGCAGAAAAAAGAGCGTGAATTGCTGGGAAATAAATCAACCAATACTTACAGCACTGGGAAGATGACCCCCGCACCAAACATGCCAAAGGACTCAGCTCCAGCTGTCATCTCAAACACCGCATCTGCTCCAGCGAAGGCTGCAGAAGAAAAACCTGCTGAAAGCAAAAAGACTTACAACAGCATCAGTAAGATTGACAAAATGTCCCGGATAATTTTTCCAATACTGTTTGGAACTTTTAACTTAGTTTACTGGGCCACGTATTTGAATAGGGAGCCTGTTATTAAAGGTGCCAGTTCTCCAAAATAAACTGAAGGACTCTAAAGCCACATGTGAGCCATACTTACAAAGCAGATGCTACCAAGGAAAATTTGAGATCCAGACGACTTTCTACATTTGGGCAATATTCTTCAGGAAGTTTTTTTGCATGTTTAATAATATGTACAAATAATATTGCCTTGATTGTTTCTACATGTAACCTCAGATATTTCGGAGACGATTATATTACTTACAGCAACAGATCTTTATGAAAGATCAGAAGACATTGAACATGGCTTCTTTGCTGCTGAGTATCTTGCATTGATAGTTTACAAATAAAATAAGTTATATTTTTTAACTGTTCAAGTGTACTACATATCGTGGTTTTTATACTTCAGAGGTACAGTCATACAAATATAGGCTTAACCTATATTTTACAGAAGAGCTCCACTATTGTCATCTGATAAGTTACTGAGTAACGCCAGTTGTAAATGTGCCAAATTTTCAAGTGTAGGGCTACGTTTGAGCACCTTTACTGGTTATAGGCAGAGCATTACTCCACAGATAAAACTGCTCAGCCCAATTTTCATTGGAAGTTAATACAGTGCAGTAAACCCTAATGGGGCTATGCTGATTTTCACTGCTTGGGCCTCTAGCTTGCAGTGTAGTAACATAGGGAGCAGGATGCTACTTGTGTAAATAAAGGTGGTGGAATCTTGTCCTTAAAAGAAAATACGAATTTGGTTTGGATTCTGCATCCCATGGAAATTTCTCAAATTATTCTCAGTATTTATTCCAAAAATTAGAGATATAATGCATGGAATTAACATAGATTAGGAACATACTTGTGCAAATAAAACTTTTAAGAAAAGCAGAAGGCATTTTTACTAGGGTAAAGTAAATGATGTTTGGACATTTTCCCAAGAAGAAGATTGCATTGTATGAGCAGAGATTAACAGTCAAGAATTACAATATATCTGCAAAAATTATCACTTGTTTCCCACCGTGAAAACCCAACCAGCCAACACTGAAAAGTGTGATCAGAAAAAAAGACGTGCTTCGTGACAGCAAGGTGTTTCAGTGACAATATTGACAGAAAGGTCTTTGTACTGTCCATCTGAAACTTTTCTATCAAACTCCTTGCTGCTGCCAATGTGTTTTGCTTTCACAATGAATGAGAAACTGCAGTCTGAGTTTTCAGCTCTTTCCTCCTTGGCATCCTTTCCTTGTTCCAGAAGCTTTTGTAATTTAATGTTTAAATAAAAAATGCATTCCACATTTGATTGCAAAATGTCATTCTTATACTGGTTATCCTTTTAGAGAGACCAAAAAAATCACCACAAGAGCTGGAAGAATTAATTGGAAAGCACACACGCCTGCGCTCGATCACATGTGTGCTCATGACACATCCTCACTGTTGCCCAGAAAGGTAGATACTGACAAAGACAGTGACTCGAGACGTTTCAGAGTTAGGCGCGATCTTGCTATGGAGCATCAGCCCCCTGTTCTGTCTGAGACAGAGAGTTCGTGCTTCACTTTGAGGTGAGGGTCTGGTCTGGGACTGGAGAGCTGTCTGGGCTTCTTGTGTGTCTTCTCTTCATCCCTTTCGTTCTTAAACATTGTCCCAAAAAAAAAAAAAAAAAAAAAAAAAAATTCTCACACACACCTATTCCTTTTTGCAGCTTTTTGTTTGATGCTGTGGAATTAAAAATTTGCAAATTCTCAGTGGCCACGGAGAAGCCACGGGACAGAGCGGGTGACTGGAAGCTCATAGGAGCAAGGGAGAAGCAAGTCCTTCTATTAGTTATAGTGCCACCCTGAGCCAAGGTGAGGATTTGGGTCTCTGATTTCATGCAGGCTTCCCCTGTGGGTTTGACCAGCCCCACACCTCCTTGTTCACCATTTCTTTATTTTTAAAAGTGGGATAATGGTGCCTGAATACAATGAACCCGGTCCTTTGCAGACTGAAAACTTTGAAAAACTGCGGAGCCTGCTGGGAGGCGGAGCTTTGTAAAGCCCTACGGCTCTTTTCTTTTCTTGCATGCAGGTTATTCCCACAGAAACGCTGGAGCCAACAAGACCTCCTGGTTTCTCACGGAAGAGCGCGTAGCTTTGGCCAAGTCCCGCAGGGATGCAGGGCGGCGAGGTGCACGCACACCGGACGGGGTGGCCCCGGCGCTTCGCTCACCGAGCACCTCTGGCGCAGCTGCAAACATCTGGCCACTGGTGGAGGGCAGCAGATCCTTCTGCCCACGCAAGACAGACCCTCTCCCTTGCAGCCTCTTCTGCCTCTTCCTGCAGCCATAAAGATGTACGACGGATGCCACGCTAGGCTCCTAGGGGCCAAATATCCAGCTGAGGAGAGGTGAGCCCAACACGCTATCAGGGCTGGTAAAGCTAGCAAGTCCTCTTCAGCCGGGGTGAGTACACCCGGAGAACTTTTCTCCTAAGCATTTCGTGAGGGTGTGCGTTCCTCCCGTGGCCAGGCAAAGTGACCGTGGAAGGAGCAGCGTGGCAGGGTCTTGTTAATCACCGGGGGAGACTGCCTTCCCCCCGGCGGGTGGGTGCTTACCCACTGCCCTTGAGCCTTTTGCTGCGGTGGATGGGGAGGGGGCCCACCACTGACACTCGTGGCAGATTGGTGTGTGACACCTGGACAAGGCTTCTGGCTAGGAAGCGGTTTACCAACAGCTTGCTATTTCCAGTCTCACCAGAGTAACAGATGGGATGTAACCCTGGCAGCATCAGTGACACAGCATAATGCACCAAATTAATCTTCCCCAGCCAGGCGTCTGAGGATGACGGGTGGGCTGGCGAGGACCCATCAGGAGACAGTCCACTTGATGATTTGCCCTTTTTTTGACCCCATATGTACCCATGCTACCATGTTCTTGGCAGATATGTGTTCTACCTGTAAGCTCAATTCTCTTCCCAACCATTGTAAACTACGGGTGGAACAGGCTCAAGCTTTTTTATCACACGCTCTTATTTATGATAATATTTACAAAGTTGGATTCTAAACACTTCTTCTCCTCGCATTCCAACCATTCAAGCTACATGAAAAACATGGTGGGTTTTGTTTTGATGATTTTTTTTTTTCTCCCCACAGGAAGATCAGGTAGTTGTAGGGTTTTAAAATAAAAACAGTTATTGAACAATGATGTTCCAAAGATTAGGGTGTGAATTGGACAGTCACTGACCGAAACCAGGTTCTGGGGGTTCAAGTTTAATCTAGAGCATGGGACCTTTGCACAATTCTCTAAATAGATTGAAACTTTATCAGGATCCTGAGACGCTGATAGAAGCTAAAGAGATGCTAGAAGCTAAAGGAGTACTTGGGAGGAATATCACATATAAGTGCCCTTTTCCTCCTATTCTTCCCTAAAAACCTCTGCTTCTGGCCACTTGCAGAGGAAGGATACTGTGCTACCTAGACCTTTGTCCTGACCCCATCCTGGTACTCAGCAAATGTTCTTCTGCAAGAGAAGGTTGGAGTGCAGGAATGCCTGGTGAGACCTCAGGCCAGCGAGCACTTCTGAAAGTGGCACTTGGATGCTCCTGGGACAATACAGAGCCTGTATGTACCACACTGTTGAAAAGTGTGAGCAACCTGCGAACCTCCAGAGGATGCTTTCCTCAGACTTCCACAAAAAGCCTCCAGTGTGAGGCTTTATCACTATATAAATGAGAAGCTCCGAGCCGTCTTCGCAGCATCTTCTCCAGAGCCATCCTCTCTGTCCCAGAGGATTTTCTGTGCTTTATTTGCTTACGCCCAAGTCTGACTCTCACCTCGAATGGCTCAGCAACATTTTCTGGTATCCACTGCAGGACTCAGTGCCAGGACCTCTAAATCTGATCTATTTTACTTACGTGGAAAGTCTCCTTGCCTTCACCGAACACAGAGCTACCTGCAAACAGCAGAGTTGCATGATCGCAGGATCAGGCCCTTTGCTTTATTTTAGTGAACAGTTTATCAGCTGTGTAGAGGACCCGATAATTACCTGCAAAAGCTATATGGTACCACAGATATCCTATGTACATAAGTGATTTCCAGTTATGTTATCGCTTTCCGTGTTTGAAGGTAAAGGCAGAAAGTAACGACTAGGGTTCGTTCTGTTATCATGGATTTGCTGTACCGGGTTGAAGTTTCCCGAAGAAACAGTCTACCTTACGTTTCTCAGAGAATCCCACAGGCTCCTAATCCTTGCTGAGAATTGAAATGGTAGAGGAGGAAGAAGAAGCCACCTCTGAGCGCGTGCTCCTGCCCGAAGAGCAGGTCTTGTCCCATCGTTTGGGCGATGCTTCAATAAGCCGATCGATTCCAGGCTGGAATATTTGAATATTTGAATGCCACTGCCTCGCGCTACACACCACCTAACGATTTCAATCTCTGCAGCCAGTGGAACTGTTTGTGTGGGAGACCGTTACTCACTGATGTCATCTGAACTGTGGGAGACGGGAGCATTTCCCAGATCCTGGCTCCAAGTAAACACCTTGGCCTTGTCCTGCTCCAGGCTGGCGCGGATTCTGGATGCGCATCAACCTCCTCTGATTTCCCCTGGAAGGAGCTTGTGCCTTCAGGGCTGGGGTGAGCTGGGCTACTGTCCCCAGCATGGGGACCCTGCGGGGGCACATCTGCTTCACAGCTTAGTCACAGCCACAGAGGGTAATAAAGAGGAATTTCTTCTCATTTGGGTTTTTCCTGTATGCTTTCATGAAAAAAAAAAAAAAAAAATAGTTGAAAAGTGAATTACAACAATTCAGCACGGGAGAGTAAGTGCGTGCAGTTCTACTGCCAAATTCTACTGCAAGTTCTCGCTCGCGCCCGTTAAGAATGGAAGAACGAGTCAAATACAATGGAAAAGGTCTTTTATTTCTGATATTTGAGCTGGGTCAGGTTACTCCAAGAAAGAATTTGGGTGACAATGTATTTTCTAAAGCTCAGCCTTCTTCTGTTATCTCAGATTGTGTTCTGCCTTTTTTCTAAATAGAGTATGTCCTCTGTGGAATAACTAAACATATTTGTACAAAACTGAGAAAGAAATTATTTTATGAAATAATATTGTCTTTCAAAAATTCTTGCTCAATGTATAAATTAAACTTCCAAGAAAACTGAATGAAACTGCTTTGCTACTCAGTTTATGCAGACAGGATGAATGCAGCACTTGCGCAGCTATTTGTTTTTTAAATCTGGAGATAATGTTCTCTGTAATAAGGATATATTTCCCCTAACACCCTTGCTCCTCAGATTGGAATTGACACTGAAATGTTCAGAGGAACCTAAATTATTCTAAAGGGGTGTTTGATCAAATTGCTTGAATTCTTTCTGGCTCTTTGTATGTTTTTATGTCACTACAAACACTTAAATATGGCCCTCTCGTCGTGGCAGTTTTTAGGTGACATCCTCACCTTACCAGTTTTGCATCTTCCACTGGTTTGTTGTGGACATTTGTTCAAATCTGAGAAAGTCAGAAAGAACGGTGGTGAGATTTTATAAAGCCCAAAAGACTTCTGCACGATCTTCCTAGGATTACTACTAATTTAGACTCAAGTGTGTGTCCCATTCTGTACTGCGTTACTTGCCTTTTCGTTGCCCTCCCCAAAAGCAATTATAACTTCTCACAGCCATCACGTCTTAAAAGTTGCTGTTCAAATTGGCCTTGGCTGAAAACAAAGTGAAAAAGAAGTTAAGAATGTCGATTGAAAATACCAACTCGTTTCAGTTAGATGAATTTGTAGTTTACCACGAAGCACCGGTAGGTTGCAATGCACCGGACCGACAATGATGGGTTGTGTTGGGTGGGAAGATTTGGTGTAGTACACATCGGACAAAAAAAAAAAAAAAAAAATAAATGCCACGTAGCTCGTCACATATACAGTAAGAAGTGCTGGAACCAGCCGCCCGCAGCCGTCTTGGCCACAGCGGGCCTGGGCTCAGTTCTCCATTCGCTGCGGGCTGCTGTTGCTGACCCCCCCCCCCCCCCCAACTGCGCAGGGGCTCTCCGCCCCCCCCAAAGGACCTGCCCTGCCCTGCTGGGGTGCCCTGTGGCCCCGTCACCCCGCCCGGGGTGCCCGTGCTGCTCCCTGCAGGCCTAGGCCAGGCTTCTGGAGAGCCGCAGCACCCGTGCCCTGCCCGTGGGCCGGCCAGGGCGAAACCCAGGGCACGCCGAAAGCGGCTGGGCCTCTGAGGTCCAACTTCCCGCTCCAAGGCAGATTTAATTATTTGTACAAAGCCGACGGCTTCCGGCGGCAGTGACAGCGACTCTGGTCTCTAATAA